TTGAAATCGTCATTTTTGAATTGTTGAAACTATCTCTCAGATGTGTCTGCTGATACAACCCGACTACCATAGGGTTCTTCAGTGAATCGATTTGTTCCTGTTATCATCTTCTCCAAATTAAAGAAAAGCACAATACAATGACGGATATGCTCTTATCAGGTGCCATTTTAAATCAAAATAAACAAATGCTTGTGGTTACAAGATTGCACTTGTCGACATATTTTGTCATAGTAAAATGATCAGTTTGTGAGAAACAAAAAAAGAATCGGCTTGCAACATAACCTCTGTACACCCTAGCAACACTTACGAGCAGTCCACAGACCTTTTAGTTAACAACCTAATACGGAAGATTAATCGAAAACTGTACAACGATTCCAAAAGCCCGATTATTCAACGCCAATTCCATGCTCATAAGTATTACTAAACAAAATGAATTACACAATAACCTAACAAATGATATCGACCGATTACCCGGTCAGACAATCAAAATCCTAGCACACTTGACGAACAGAAAAGTTACTAATTAAAGAGTATCGTGTGAAACGAGCATTATGTTCGCATCAGTCGCGAAACGAAAGGAAACGAGGCATCGTGTTAATTCAGAGAACCTTGTCGTTTCCCTTTTCACGATTGAACGCCGTTGAAAGGATGTCAGACCTTTTATATTCATTGTACGAAAAAGGAACGCTGGCGCGCGGCGGCGGTTACAGCGGGAGCGAATAGTTGGCAGCGTCGCCGGTAGTCGAAATCAACCACCCCCACCCTTCCCCCAACCCGTGCCACGCCGCTTAGTTTTCTAAGGGTTCGCGCCGGCTAGAGTAATTACGCCTACATATGTATGACAGGTCTGAGGGTGAAACCCTTCTAACATTGAAGTTTCTCCTTCCCCCCAACCGCCACCTGACGCGGCCGCGCTTAAGTGGAAGAGTTACGTGCCGACGAATAGCAATGCCACTCCCGGCCGTGTTTAGGTAGGTAGCATAGGCACTCTCTCCACCTGTACGCGCGACAATAATCCGGCACGATTCGTGTGGACTCGAAATCTGGTCGAATACAAATTTTATATGGTTCAGGGAAGCTGTTATCGCTTCGATTCGGGTCTTGTCCGATCGATCGTGGAAATGATTACCCTCGTTTCTATATCGGGACACCATCAGCCGCGAAAGGAGACGGGAACTATATCAACCGATATTGAATGAGGCGTAATGCAAATTGCACGGAAAATTTAATGATTCAGACTAGAGACCGATGTACGCTGGCCAATGATTTCCTATTGAACGAAATTATTTTTGGTTATTGATTTTGCGACGGAATATTGTTATTGTGGTGTTTATACACTTCGTAGTAGGTTTTGTAATTATTGAATGTTGTTTTACTGTGGTTCAATTTTGTGAATTACTTTTTTTAATTTATATGGGTCACGAAATTTATACGAGGTGTTTAAAATAATAGTAATATATATAATAATAATAATAATAATAATAATAATAGTTTAAAATAATAATCTCTGCTGCTTATAGAAAAAGGGAACAGCCGGAAATTGTATTAAAGAAAAATTGTCACCACTCTATTACAGTAATAACATTGAATTACTTTTTTGTACCGCTAATTTTATAGAGCGGATCATGCGGAAATTCGTGATAAGTTTTTGGAGTTTCTTATATAGTCATTTGTAATTTAGGGAACTTTAATTTAAAATATAACATTGATGAGATACTTAAGTTGTATTATTAAATAATTAAGAAGTTTATCGCCTTTTTTAAATTACTTTAAACAACATTCCGTATGAACTTGTTAAAAGGCTATATCACTTGAGAAGAATTTTAATCTAAATTGGGACTATTGATTTGAACCGAGTACCCGTGAGGTAACCCGTTAAAGTTAAACCGTAACTACAGACCAGTCGCCTCGGAGATGAACAATCCAACAGCGACTAACTTTGTAACACTATTAATAATCAACTGAATGTTGTTTTTCATTATCGTCTCGGAAATAGGGTGTTAATTAAAGGTACTCAAACGGTTAGAGCTTCCAAAATTCTCCACTAAGTGGTGATAGTGAAATGAACTAGTGGCCTGCGGTTAAGGATGAAGAAAGTAAATCTTCTTTTATGGTTCCAGACGTAATTACGATTTTACTGTTCGTTCAAATTTTATCTGAAACAAATAGATTTAAACATAAGATATTGCACAACAGAACCAAGGTTAAAATTTGTAGGACAGTGTTATGCTATGGGTTAGTAAATAATTTAATTTAATAATAATTCATAGTAATAATATACTGTCAAAAGTATAGACATTGAATTAAAGCTGACCAAAATGTATTTTTTCACAGAAATACGTATTTAGTAAGTAAACATACAAATAAGTGTAGATAATTTTTCATTATGTCATACGAAAACAATCTTCTTAATTATGTTCATGACCTGGTGAGTGAAAGTTATAAACGAAAGAATGAGACGCTTTGTACGACACATTTTTCTTATTAATAATCTTAAACTACAATTTTCGTTACTCGTTCACTACATCATTCTGTATAATTCTTTTTAATTATTATTTGCTGTTACTTACATGTACTACTAATATCTAGTTTGCGCTAACTTATACCATTATTTTCTCTTTGTAAGCAGACAAATTTTTACGTAGAAAAACATGGAAATAATCGAATTATTAGTTTTCATAATATGCTTTCATAAGACCAATTTTAATGTTGACATTCGTTTTTCTACTTTGAAATTCAAGGCTATTCAAAAGGAGGTAATCATGGTGACAAGAACAAGGTGCTGTTAAATGGGAATTTCACCGTCTTCAACGAACATTTTCACGGAAAAAGGGGAAAATAAACAAGTAGAATTGCGAGAGCAATAGTAATGGGATCTCTTCACAACACTCTCCATGCAAATGGAACTTTGGATTTTTATGCGTTCACAATGGTCTAGTCACACAACAATAATCCATGTGGGATTCTCCATAGATGTGTCCCACTAGTTCATTTGCGACCACGAACGAAATTTTAATTAAATGGAGCCGGCACCTCGATTATCTGGTGCGTGAAAAGATTCGTTTGTACAATCTTCCTGTGCGATTTGACTTTCAGATTTTTATTCAAGGATGGTTTATGCATTCAAAGCCGAAGTAAATGAACGCTACGAATTTCCCTAAATTCGGAAGGTTGAAATAATATATACCGCGCGTTATGAATAGTCTGCTTATTCTGTCACGATACAATAAATCACAACCTAGTGGAGAATTTTGGAAGCTCTAGGCGTTTGAGTATCTACCTTCAATTTACACCCTAGTACATGCAAATTCGGAAAGTTAAAATAATATATGTCGCACGTTATGAATACTTTGCTTATTCTGTCACGATACAGGATGTCCGTAAAATATCTGGAAAAACAGCTCTGTGTATTTAAATTACAGTGCATCGAATCTGTCTATCTTTCTGGATAGTTATATTCGAAGACCCTTAGAACCAGAGTTTTGGGAATAGATACCGATCTTCACTTTCCATTTTTGTTTTAAAATATGAAGTGTAGCAATGAATAATGTACTATTTTCTTAATAAGGCGGTGATACAGCCTTTTAACATGTGTTCATCCATTTTTAGGCTGTATAAAGAGCCTGAGATATTGCAAAATATAATAATACCAAAATGTGATTCTAAATCTTTTCGTTTTTGGGTAAAGTCTATCCGATTTTCTTGGAAACAAATATAACAGTTTTTAAAACGATTTCTTTCCAAGAACTGTGTGATATTGTACGATATTCCATACCTTAGATTAGAGCTGGAGTGTGCGCTTAGGTTGATATACATAGGTGCCTTTTATTAATTTTAAAGAAAGACTGACTCCAGGAATACAGAAATAATGTGTAAGTGCAAGCAAGGAAGCTTCTTTTTCCATTTTTCTATCTCGTTCGAATGTGACACACCTACAACGGTGATGCTACCAATTAGCCATAAAGGAAACACCTGCTATTTTGTTAGGACTTAGCCAACGAGTCTCCCTTCTTCGCAGCTTTTCTCATCGTCACATCCAGCTAGAATCGTCAGTCGAAATTTAGCCATCGAATAGTTGACATCTGTAAACAAATCTGCGTCATTTTCCGTTACCTCCGTTAATATTTCTTTATTTTTAATAGACCATTATTTGTTGATACGAGTATCTTTTTATATCAATCTAACTACTCATAGAAAGTTAATTCAGCGTGTGAGGTCGTGAACCACTAAAACATACGTGTTAAGGACTTTGGGACGCAATATTGACACCTGCATGAAACAAAAAGAAAGTCTGATTGTCCACTAAAAAAGAATTAAGGTCAGTTTAATTATTGAAAATCGTTGTATAAAAAAAATAACGAAACGTTTCCTTCTTCGGTTTCGTTTCACGTACCAATAATTCGCAATAAAAATGCCAATCCATTATTAGAGTTATTTAATTAACTGAAAATACAGTGATCAAATTATTAAAACCATTTGCATAAACTGACGATTTTACAATTTTATTCGGTGGGTAATTATTGTATAAAGTGATCCAGTATAGAAACATTGATATCGTGATTTCATTTCTGCACAAACACAAAAACTATAGTTTCTGTACTGTGACTAATAACTTGATCATCCACTGAAACCGAATTACACTGGGCGATCAAATTATTAAAGCCATCTGCGTAACTTGACGGTTCTGCAATTTTAACTTTATTTTAACTGTATTTTCCTAATTGCATGAGCAAACTTTAATTTCTTCGTATATTTTCAGTGGATAATTGCTATTTAAGTTTTTTTTTTTTTTTGTACATCATGACTTTGTCAACACAAAAAGGGAAAATAAATTCATACTTTGGCTCTAATAATTTGACCACCCACTGCGAATAGTGATATTATAGTTAAATACGATGTTAATCTTATCGTTGCTCGAAAGCTGCCGGAAATCATTAGCCCCGACGTTTTTCAGTAAACACAGACGACGGAGTAACGATCGTTCCTCTCTCATTTAACAGGACGAAGGATGGAAACTAGACCGTACAAATTACTATCAGGAGGGATGGTTGGCCACCGGTAACGCTCGTGGCCTCGTGGGGGTGACTTTTACTACGTCCCACTGTCGAACGAGGACCACGGAACTTCCGCTGAGGGCAAATTACAACCTTCGGGCACATCGGAGCGAAGTAAGTTGCTATTTTTCTTAGCTCGATCTTTTTTCCCTGCACCTCTTTTTCACGCGATCTCGGTAACTCAGACGCGGACGGGAGTGTCATTTAATTTCCTGTTTTGCCCGTTCTTTTCGAGCCAAGGTACCGATTAATAACGTTGATAGTTCTAATTCCTTGGATCCCCGCGATCTTCGACCGGGCATTTCGTAAATGTTGACTTAAAAACTTTCTTAATCAAGACCCGCCGCCCCGGCTCTACGATCCATAAATCAAATTGATTTTAACACGAATACACTTGTGGCACCGGATAATTTCATGCAACCTCGATTGGTTTTACGGTCGTTAAAAGTTCTTGCGTAGACCTTTGGAGATATGCTCTAACCACTCACGAAAATCCAGATACAATAGAGTCTTCCGTATCCGCACTAATACGGAGACATACAGTGAATTACAAAAAGATTCGGACACTAATGTATGTTTAACTTTGAGGCCGTATATTATTATTAGTTGTGAAGGAAATGCAATCGAAATTGCGTCTTTTAATAGTTTAATTATTGTAGGTTACAAACATGTATAGCTTATTTAACTAATTTGAAATAATTATACATTATTAAAGATTAAATGGGATCATACCCAATTGTTACGTTGCAAAAATATTTGAACATCCTACAAAATCTGCACTTTGCGCATTGTTTATAATTAATGTTTATATTTTTAATGTTTAGTTGCCTTACCTTTTTGTTTTATCACACATTTCAATCGTTTAGGCATACTGAAAATAATTCCTTTAAGATATCCTGGATCTGTTTACTCCTATTTGTTTTTTAATCTCATGTTTAGTTCTTCTGTCGTATTTATCGGTGTTATCCTTATTTGATGATAATACTGATAATAGTCCAATTAATTTTTCTATACTAAACTTCATTTATTGAAATAGACACCAAGAAAATTGACAGTTTATTCAAGCATTTATGGATCCCATATCTTTTTGTCTGCTAAATTAAAGCAATTTTTCGATGTAAGTAACTGACAATGAGTAGAATACGACCGAACAGAGGCAAGTATAAATTGTGTGTAAGAACTAGATATTTGCAACAGAAGAAGACATTTGTTGCTGGTAGATACTCTGCTTCGACAACAGAACGTTTGGATAGCAGAACGTTCGAATATTAGTGTATTCGGAGAAAGGTTGTTCGTATACGGAAGGCTCTACTGTACTTGGTAGATTTATAAATACACTACAGAAATGTTATTAACATAAGTAAGTTAACAAATGAGGGCACATTTTATTATTTTCGTTCTTATGGAATACAGAGACTGAAAAGTGAAATTATGTAGTACAAGAATTCACGAATTTTAGATATAACTGATTTAATTACTTTAACATTAATAAATATTAATTATAACCGATTTAAACTTAAATTCACCCTGAAGATAAAAAAATCTTGTCAGTAACAAAAGAGATTCATTAAAATACTTATATATCTTTAAAATACTTATTTCTCGCAAAATGGTACTTACTTGAAAGTGAAACTATGATTTTTCGAAGTAGAAAAGCTAGTCTTCTTATTTATAGAAAGAGATGACGTATGTATTAAAGAGCCCCTGCGATAAAAATTAATCCTTGTACACTGTCCACAAAAAGTGGTAGGTACATAAGTGTTCCTTAAATTAAATTCAGCTGAAGTAAAAACTAAATTGACAAAGTATGTTTACCTATTACTAATAACTAAGTCAAATTAATTAAAAATTTGCAAAACAACAAAGCTAGTTCAAAATGACAAATAGTATACGATAGTGAAGAATCAATCATTGTTCTTTATTTTAAATAAATATAACAATTACGTGTAAATAAAATGATATTATTGTTATTCTGCAATATAGTGTAACCACATTTATAGTGTTGATAGATGTCAAGTTGGATACTAAAAGCTTTACTCGTTAATAACATTTACTTTCATTAAACCAGAAGTTCAAGTTCAAACATCCACATTAGATTTCTTTTACTAAAATATGTGCCAATATTTTTCAAAAGAACTAGTTTTCTTCGCAACGAGTTCTATAAAGCAAGCATAATTCATTAACAAATTTATAAACAACTGAGTTCAACTTAGTGAACGCATATCTTAATTATTAACATTCAAAGGTTTACAGTTTCATAAAATATAATCCACCCTGACAATCGAAACGTTTGGATACGTATAAATTTAATTTTCACGGCCCAAGACCTCTACGATCACATTATCTGAAAACCTTTGTCAGCGCATAATCGCGTGTATTAAAGCGGAGAAACTTCATCGACCACGATGTGAAAATAACGAAAGCGGAATAATCTTCAAACAATGTTCTAACCGAATGCAGGTAGATAAGCGAAATTCCTATTATTCTGTCCGGTGTGTGTATATTTCATTGTTAAATGTGTCGTATACCTCGCTGATTCCCTAAGACGGAATTTGCGTGTTGGTATACGAGACCTGTGAGTTAAATTCAGAGACCATAACTGTTATAACCACAATTTAAAAAGTGACGGTATAAGAGTTAATATCTTTGTGTGAATTACTTTGGATACGAATAACCATTATAAATGCCTAAAATTTTTTTTTGCTTGTCATTAACAGTTATAGATGATTTTTTCCATGTAAATCTCTATTACGTGAACTATATTTGCTGTCATTCTCCAAGATTCGATACTACTTTTCCAGCTAGAAAATGTAAAACTTACTTCTCGGAAGTATTGTATAGAACTATCTCATTACGAAAATAATGGTTAGACTGCGGATTTTATACATTTAGAGCGTATAAGGTTCGATGAAATACAGTAAAAAACAAAACTTTCATCAGATGCAACGAGTTTTCTATTTTATTCTGAACCCAATACGATAATTAAGAGAGAAAATAAATTTCTACGATTGCTCCGGTCTTTATAAATTATTTTAGAAACTTTCATATTGCATAACAATCCGCAGTCTAATAATGGTATACGTATCTAATACATGTAATTTCTACCCATAATAATTGAGATTATTTGTTAACACATTCAATGCGGGTGACGTAAACATACGCGTCATGGCGATATTCCCTTTCCTATAGCTGGTTACGTATGCGTCCACGGTCATGCTTTCTTTTCATGAAAAACAATTTTATTTCTGTTTAAAACCTTATAAAATATCAAGAGTAGCATAAAATGATACCTACATTTTGTCAAAAAATCCGTCATCTGGGACATCCTTCGATTTTTGATGCTGTATTCAATGTGTTAATTCCTCTATTGCACTATAAAATACAGTGATTCCTCGTTGAATGCGACACGAAGAACGGCGTTATTCCCACTACTGAGGAGGTGGACCCTCTGGAACCATTCAAAACAGAGTACACTGAAGCTAAGCAGAGGCTCGGCTTCGTGCAGAAATTAAATTTATGAGGAGCCGAGAACCTTTGCCACGAATATTCCGAAACGGACCCGAGTTCGTTGCACTCATCGCAACATTACTGTAAATGCAAAAAATCTCCGATTTATGGTTCGCCTTAAAAAAAGGGGGTAAATACAGCTTCCATTTTATGAGGGGCAACAAGTACGAAAACTCCATTAACACCGAAAAGGAATTGAAAGTTCTTCGAGGTGTGAATTTCTCGACGTTACGTACTCCATGAATTACGTAAACGGAAATCAATATCCGTCGGTCTAAATCGAGCAATTCCAGTCAGCTGAACGTATCATAATGCGATAATAAATTTGCGATGCTGGATGTGGCGCGTTGACGGGACATCGTATCGCAGTGTCGCAGCCACCGTGGTCGGACGGGCGTGTGGTGGGGGGCCTAATTTTACGGCTCACCCCTTGCGGAGCGCACTCGATACGAAGTCATCGGTGTTGCACGTTGACAGGTCGCGGCCGGCGATACCTACCGAGTATGTACACCCGGCAATTTTCAATCGGTGACCCATTTTGCGGCAGCGCGGAACGAAGCCCACGAGAAGTTATCGAACACGTGCAGAGAAAACTGTACCCTGGCGTACCCAGCCCCTATCTGGCCGAAGCCAGTCCATGACAGCCTATCACATGACGCGAACGCGTTAAATTGAGAAAGCAATTGGATGGATGCGACCCCACTGATAAAGCTCCTGGACCAGATATTTTCAGGGAACTCGGGAAATTTTTCGCCTTTCTGAATACCGTTTACCCGCGGAACCCGATCGTCGGACGAACTAAAGGTGAAACTATGGCTTTGTGTAAGTGAAAACGGAGCGGCCCAGAAAGTATTAGGGTAGTACATTATCTTTACTGTGATTATTATTATTTTATTATTGGCCGAGCGAAGCCAATTCTTAATAGGCCACTTCTTGTACTTTTGTTATGGGTACTACTCATTTTACCTTTGACATTATGAAATAATACAGTACGCTAAATAATTATTTCGGACAAGAAAAATTATTACATAACTGAATAATAAAATATTTGTTTGAATAAAATTTTGTATTTCTTCAGTTTTGTACTATGAAAACGATACTAATAATAGCACTTCGGTTAATTATTTCAATTTTATGTTAACTGAAAACTGAATGTTTCAGAACAATGAATGAAATAATTATACCAGAAAAAGTAAAAATTTGATTCATATCCATCTTATATAACCGCATATTATAAACAAGAACTAACAATCGATAGTATAGTTATATTTTACTTACAAGCATAAGTGTTTGGACCCAATTAAAGAAATGCATTAGTAATGCATTAGTAAAACAAAGAAATGCATTAGTTAAGGAAGATTTAGAAATAGTTTGTCTGCACACTGTACTTTGCCCGTGTATTCTACACCACCTGTAGATGTGAATAATCTATAAATAAACTCATTGCATTAAATAAAGTAACCTTAATTCTTCAATGGCAACTATGCATTTTCCTCTTGATCTTTGTAACAATTAATAAAATAGAAATAAAGAATAAATAACTTTATCTCTTAACTGCTCGATACCTATATGGAAATGCTTCCAGGTTCCGCCGCTTTTTAGTTAGT